ATTAAGAAGTTACCTCACAATAACAAAAAAACAGTAACTGACTTCGAGACACTTTACAAGACGTCGCTGCATGTATCCTGTTTCGGCAGTTTTGACCGCAGTATCCACAAGACCTTCTCGGCCTCCCATTGTGTGAAAAAAGAATTCGGTAGGGGTTAGCCCAGAATAGAAGCTGTTCTCCACGAAACCTTTCGCAGCTGGAGTTTTTTGGCGGCGCTCGAAATGCGGTAGCGAACGATCCTTAAAAAAGTGTACAGAATTGTTCTTCTCATTACAAAAATGACTAATTTCACGCAATCACATCAGCACTATGGATGCTGAGTACTTAAACAAGTAATATTTTTGAAAAAGGTATCGAATCTTCAAAAACTCAAGATTTTTCATACGAAGCTATCTTTTTTACCGATTCTGGCCTTTTCTCTAAGATAATCAGCAAAAAATGTAGATTCATAGTGAAATTCATTGATACCGAGTTAAAGCTGCCAACGAAAAAGCTGATTTACTGGTTTTGGCTTTGCCACTTCCCTCCTCTTCCCTCCCTTTCCCCCTCTCTCCGCTACATACGCTAGCGCCCAAATATAATATCTTCGAATCTTCATTTCAACAACAAACCTCAAAACCATCCGGTGGCCTGTGCCCTGAAATTGCTTGCTGGCCTACACATGCGATCATTTGTGAGATATTGATGAATGAGCCTTTGGAGCCACAGACAGCCATCGTAAGCGGAGCATTATGCCTAAAAATTCAATAAAAATCAAAAGCCTCCCTCGTATTTTCACACTTTCCTGGCTGCATTTGAAGGCTTACTCAGAAAAACAGCACTCTGCTAACAACATATTACAGATCATTTACTGAAAAGACCAATAATCCAAAAAAAAACCCCATTTGAAATGTGTCTCAGTGCTGCAAATACCTTAAATTTGAGCCATTAATATCATTATTTTTATGCGTACTTTGCATCTATGCAGTGCACAAAACGCATATTGACGGAGGGTTGTCTGAGTTCTGTGTGTATCTGTCTGTGCGCCCGTACCGATTTTTCATCTCAAGACCTACAAAAGCTACAGCGCTGAAACTTTAGGAGCTTAATCCAAAAGCACGCACCAGCCCCAATCCCCAAAATGGGCGCTCTTACCCGTGCGGTATTCACGCACGGGCCCGCCAAAGTTTTTGGTAGGGGAGCTGCTAATTCGAGAACCAGAAAAGCTAGAAAGCTAAAATTTTAAGGGGAAGTTCACCGTCACGTAGGTCTTAACAGGTTCCAACCTGGCCACCAAATGCGTATGGTCCCCACATACGGGCCCGTGAAAGTTTTCTTCGAGTAAGCTGCTAACTCGGAAACCAGGAAAGTTGGAAAGCTGAGATTTTAAAGAGATGTTTTCAGACAGTCCTGGTGGCCAGACTAAATTCTCTTAGCTAGAAGCATTTGTCGGAAAACCCGATGCCGTTAGCTACAAAACCTGTGGGGAACTACGCAAAAAACGATCTTCGCGCCGGCAGTCAGTGCGCTGACCATTTATCCTTTTTTTATCACGATTATTCACTTCTTAAAAACAGAACTTACGGATAAGGAAAAAATCAAAATAAGGGAAACAATTGGAGAAAAAAACTACCTGGACAAATTGCGTAGACATGCTTGACCAGCGTGGTCACGAATAGCAGACAGTTCCTTCAAAATCAATGCTTCAAGCGTTTGATGCTCTGTGCAACCGGGCTGCGCTTTCAGCTGCCCATTTTTCAGACTTTCAATGTACTCGTCACAGACTTTGTAACCCGTTTTCAGTAGTTCTGCTTTCTCTTTCAATAGCGCCGAGCTGGGCCTCACATCACCGATCCCTTAAAAATACATCTTTTGGCACGTTGCCAGATCGCAAAGAAATTTGAATGGAAAAGTTTAGAACTATTCGAAAAGTGTGACAAATCTATACGTAAAATTCGCAGAGATATGCAGCAGATGCAGCGAAAAAAGGCAGTTTATGCTTCTTTAAGATAAATTGTACCAGCATGTGAGTACAGACCAGTAACAACGGAATTGTAATTATAATGAGAAAGAGAGTGATTTTAATAGAAAATTTTTTTGTATTGTTTTTGTTAAATTAAATGTTCTACGTAGTTATTTTATACAGAAGTAGCCTTTTTGCAAAATACGGAGGGGGTTTTGCATTACATCAGTTGCCTTTAACTTTCGCAAGTTACTTCCCCAATTTATGCTAGTTAATAATGCCTGCCCTTAAGGGATAAATAAACAATTATACATATAATACGTATACTCTGACAAATGTCAGTTTGCTTGTAAGCAACCCTTAGAAGAGGGGCCCATCGG